ACGAAATTTCTGGGTGGGAGAGCGCAGGAGAGTGAGGCAGTCAGTGTAAATTTTACAGACGTGGGTATAAACAAGGTATTTTTAATCCATAATAAGGCTTGTTTGAACGCTTCACTTTCTGCCTGGAAAACTGAATTATATACAGTGGATGGACAAAAATATGGAAACACCTTGTGAAATGCATGTTTGAAAAGAAAGATTGATTTTAATGAAATATGTAGGTGGTGCTAGCGTTTTTGACTACTGACGCCACCTACACAACTTCGTAGATGTGCTAAACAGTTCAGTTGTTGTCGGAGTACTGTTATGTGAAGTTGTCATTGCATTATGTCAGAGTTAAAAGACTTCGAACGTGGGCAAATTGTTGGAGCACGTATGGTAGGTGCTTCCGTAGCAAGGTAGCCGAGGTGTTTAGTGTTTCAAGAGGTACTATATCGAAGATTTATTCCGCATATTTGAAAAGCGGAAAAACATCATCTACTAAATCACAGCGCGGACGAAAGTGTGTCCTGAGTGATCGTGACAGACGATCATTAAGGGCAATTGTGACGAAAAATAAGAAAGACCACAGCTGCAAAGTTACTGCTGAAATGAATGTTGTATTACCGAACCCTGTGAGTACCAAAACAATTAGAAGGGAGCTTCATAAACAGGGAATTGCTGGCCGTGCTGCAATTGAGAAGCCACTCATCAGTGATGCTAATGCCCGTAACAGGAAAAGGTGGTGTTTAAGTCATAAAGCCTGGACTATAGAGCAGTGGAAGCGAGTAATATGGTCTGACGAGTCTTCTTTCACATTGTTTCCCACTTCTTCTGGTCGAGTTTACGTCTGGAGAACGCCATCTCAAGCCTATAATACAGACTGCTTGTTGCCAAGAGTGAAACATGGCGGGGGGGTTCTGTTATGGTTTGGGAAGCCATATCGTGGTTCTCTACTAGCCCCATGATAACTGTGTCAGAGCACATGACTGCCAAGACTTATGTGAACATTTTGGCCGATTAAGTTCATCCCATGATACAAACTTTGTTCCCCGATGGTGATGGTGTCTTCCAAGACGACAAAGCCCCTGTTCACACAGCTCACATTGTCCAGGACTGGTTTTCTGAGCACGAGGATGAGTTTTCCCATCTTCCCTGGCCACCACAGTCAAAAGACCTGAATATTATCGAACCTTTGTGGTCTACATTGGAACGGAAAGTGCGTTCTCGTTATCCACCGCCAGCATCGTTATCTGAACTTGCCACCGTTTTGCAGGAAGAATGGTATAATATTCCCTTGGCAAACATACAGAAACTGTATTTATCCATTCCGAGAAGAAGACTGCAAGCTGTTTTGGATGCCAACGGGTTTCCTACACCATATTAAGCAAAGAAACATGTTTTTTAAAGGTGTTTCCATATTTTTGTCCAACCCCTGTATATTCAACTTGAACATTCTATAATCCATAGTAAAAAACAACAAAGACAGCTCCTACGCTCCCTCCGACCCCAGAACCATCAGTATAAAAATCAAACACATCAACAGTTGGATTACTTTTATCAAAAACAAAACCAAATCTGTTGGAAGGATGTATTAAATGAATATTAAATTTTTCAAAAATATTCTTTGTGATTAAATAATCTTCACGCATTTTTAATTCCATTCGTCCAGTTCTAAATAAAAATTTCTCCTAATAAAATTCGTCTAAAATTGAGAGAGGACGCAGCCCAGCCAACACAAAGACGGCCTCGGTAAAAGGCACAGCTCTAAAACATCGGGTTAAAGCTAAACACCAAGCTCTCTGAATACTGTCTAACTTCATCCGTAATCTAACCAGTTCCTCTACCCTGGATCACGAGGTTTCCGCAGTTTTGCTGTGTTTGCCAATATATGAGTAACCTGGACAATCGTCAAACCAATTTGAAAACTTACTTACTAATTTTAAAAGTTTTCCTTTCTCTTCCCTACCCAAGTGGTTCAATTCGATTTCCGGTGCCTGCGACCGTCCCTCTGCCAGTTTGTTCATATCCAGCTGTAAAATCTGATCTTGAAAATTTAAATGAGCCCCTGCCGCCTTCAAAATATATTACCTTAAAATTACGGCAGCTTGAAGATTATTCTAGGCAAGAAAAACCACCTTTAATTGTTCATTTTTAAATTGTACATGCAATAATATTTTAACTTACTTACTAATGTTAAAAGTTTTCCTTTCTCTTCCCTACCCAAGTGGTTCAATTCGATTTCCGGTGGCTGCGACCGTCCCTCTGCCAGTTTGTTCATATCCAGCTGTAAAATCTGATCTTGAAAATTTAAATGAGCCCCTGCCGCCTTCAAAATATATTACCTTAAAATTACGGCAGCTTGAAGATTATTCTAGGCAAGAAAAACCACCTTTAATTGTTCATTTTTAAATTGTACATGCAATAATATTTTGCCTATGCATATGAACTGTTTGCTTTGGGCGGCCAAAACTTAATTAAACTTACATTAAAGAGTCTATAACGCTTCTGAAAGAAAACAATATTCTTTCAGTGCCTCTGTGAGGACATTATTTAGTAATACCTGCACCACTTGCAACGCCAAAATTTTAACTGTGACGGCATTCAGTTGAACTTTTGAGGGATATTTTTGTGCTTCCGGAGAAACTATACCCTTTTATCTTCAGTATCCTTTCTTAGCTTAAATTTGTCGTATTACTTCCCCCTGTCTTCTCTTTTGTCCTTTATTCTGGCGGCCACAACAAGAGGTTGAATCTTTTATTCTACTATCGAATTGTCTCTTCTGGCCAAACTGTGGCCTTCGCTGAGGCAATGGTCTAATCTTTGCCCATTCGCTCTCGCCGTGCCCTGCTATATGTGTTTCTTCCACTACACATCTGATTTGAAATTTTATTGCTGACTCAAATATACTTTCTGAAACACAAATATACTTTTTAAGTCGCTGAATTGCGGAGCTCAAAATAATCCTGGGCTTACGGCAGTAACCTAGCAATATAGTTTGAATATTAAACTTCATTCGGCCTCTCACTGTAATTTAGACTTTTCTTAAAATAAAATCCTTTAAGTCTTCAACTTTAAACTCAAAGTTACGAAACATCTCCGACTAGAGCTTAGCCTATGTTTCACAACAGGAAACGCTTTAAAGATAGCATTTTTAAAATTTTCAAATGTGTATGTATCGCTCCCTGGCTCCCTCAACACACATTTTCAACTATATTTATACCAAGTTGAAGCTTGGCTTCTAAGTGCTGCACATACGGTAGTAATTTTTGTGCCTCTGGCACTGGGTAAAGTAAGAAATGGGAACTCAGCTGTTGGATAGTTGAATACTGAGGTTTACTCATCGAAAGTGATTGCATGTTTCATGTTAGCCCTGCTGGGATCGACGGCCAATTCAAATCGTCGACTGATGAGCTTAACTGCAGCTGGCGGAGCTTGCGACATTGAGTGGGCCAAACTAAACGTTGAACTTTTTTGTCACATGGTTCTACTCAGTGTTCGGTTGCCAAGAAAAAGTTTCGTTCTCTTTAGTAACATCAAATGTAGGAAACTTTTAAGATCTTCAGTGAATTATCACTATGCCTTGTAAAGTATCATTCTGACTGGAAACAGTGCAAAGGACACTTTTATTTAACTCTATAATTATTAGTAATTATTAATTTACTAATAAAATTAATAGAAGGCACTATTCGGGCTTACAGAAATAGGCAGCATTTATGGCTTAAATCAAAGTTAATGAAATTGTCTTCTTCCCTCCAGCCTGTCTTCGTGGTGTAACGGTAGCACACTCGCCGCGTATTCGAGAAGTCCAGCTTCGAGTCCCGGCGAGAGCATTGCTCATTTTTCATGCCTTCAGCTTCAAAATAACCTAATGACCCTACAGTGGCGCACAAACTAAAAGGTGGTGGACGATAATTCGTTACCACCAGGTTCCCTAAACCCCAGTCTCCCTTTAAAAGGGGGGAGTATATAAGGTGTTTTCTCCCTTCCTCCAGCCTGCTTTCGCGGTGTAACGGTACCACGCTCGGCGCGTATTCGAGAGGTCCAGATTCGTGTCCCGGCAAGCCATTGCTCATTTTTCATGCCTTCTGCTTCAAAATAACCTAATGATTCTACACCTTAACTAAGTGAATGTAAGTTACTCCAAAGGCTAACACAGATAAAGAAACTCACAAGTTGACATGACTTAAACAAACATAATTATAAGTCGGCGTGAGAAGCCAAATGGCAAGAATAACACAAATCAGTAAAATGCTACTCTCAAGGTAATCAAAATAGCAATCGGCCTTCAGCAATCGGAATACGCTTTGATTCTGCCCTCTAAAACCTAATGCTATCTCCTTTCTACCTCATTTGAATACACGCGAGCTAGAAATTTACATTCTGGCAAGAAAATGGGAACCAAGAATAACAGAAAAGTACATTAACATAAAATATCTGGCTACTAAACTAAACGAAACATAATAACGCAATATACCGAACAACGTTATGACAGGGGATCAATATATTACACTAAGTCCTTTTCATAGTCTAAGATTCCTTCATATAAGGAATTATGAATTTCATTACTTTACAAATATGGAATTAACTTAGAATAATAGAAGGATTCTGAATATGTTAACTCGTTATTATACATTTTTTTTATTTATTTGAATAAAGCAAAACACGTGAAAGTATTTGCCTAAGATAAGAAGTATGCTTTCTTGAATGACTTTTTTATTTTAGAAGACATCGTCAGAAAGAAGAAAGTATTTTAAGATGAAACATTTTATACTCAACGTTCTTGTATCAAGAACAGATAAGAAGAAATTGAATTGCTGTTATATTGGTAGGAGGAGGCAATATATTTACAATTTTTATTGTTAGGCGAATTATTATATTGGAAATTTCTTTATTCCTAACATTTAAATTTCTTCATTACAGTTTTTCTTTCAAATTTTTTCCTCTTATTGTTAGTTATTATTTACTTCATACTGAAGTAAGTAACAATTTCAATATGAAATTATATTTGTCTTTTGAAGGTCAACCTGCTGATGTGAGTATTCAAATTGAAATTCTTAACATACGCTCAGTGGATGTAGCTGAAATGGTAAGTAAGAGTTTTAGCTGTGAGATATTATCTGATAAAAATTCCTTCATATGTACATGTTCAACAGATAGTACATGTTCATTAGTCAATCGGATTCTTACCTTACTAATTTTCAACTGTAAAAATAAGCTGTTGCCTAATAAATATATTCTCAAACAAAGCGATTATTCTCAGCGCAAAATTTCAAAACTGAACTTATTTAGTTTTCAGAAGCATGAATAAAAGTTAATAAAATTTGAATCTTCAAATCTTTGAATAAGACTTCTATCACACCGTAAATTAATTAGTTGCATTTACAAATTTCTGATGTGTTATTCGTGTTTCTTTTTAATGATATGAAAATAATATAAAGTAATAATAAAATAATATAAAGTTGGACTAACAAATACATAATTGAAATTTATTCGCAAATCGCATAAATTTCCTTCGGGGACCGCATGTGGCCCGTGGGCGATCAGTTTCAGACCACTACACTATACGACGCATACACTGAATGACCTGAAGAGAAACATTATGATGTCATAATGTTTCTCTTCAGGTCATTCAGTGTATGCGTCGTATAGTGCAGTAAAATTTGCAGGTTCATAACCTATACTTATTACTAATGCTTACCTGAACAAATTAATTGTTGGAGTCATGGTACTTGTGTTCAGGTAAGCATTAGTAATAAGTATAGGTTATGAACCTGCAAATTTTACTTTTTTACTGCAATGTGTACAATCATCCTATATAACTGGATATTCTAACTGTTATATTAATACATTTTTTGAAGGGAAATGGTCAGGGATAACTGAAATATTATCACGTAATGCATTTTTCAAATATTAAGCAGCGAACATAAGAAGGCAATGATTTTCGGAAGCAAATTTTATAAAGGGAACTTTTTTATAGCGGGCACTAGCTGTTTTAGGCTTTGGCCACTAAAAAGGTGCAGTCTGTTTTAGGCTTTGGACACTAATAAGGTGCAGTGGTGCTATGGTGGTACAGAAGCAGTGATCATTTTATTATGGAGGCACCTAATAAGCGGCCACCTTTACCTCCTATAAGGGGATAGACAATTTTCCATCCATATCTTTTCGGGCCCTTCGGTCCGGCAATCAGAGTCACGAACCGCTTTCCCGTCTGAAAGGCAGGGAAAAAAAGTCTTCTCAGTAGAATACAATTAGGTTTTGTTTTTAAAAGTTTTAAATTGAATACATGGCTTTAATTATTATAAGGAAAAATTAAAATTTATCACAAAAATACCCCACAAATGTTTCAAAATTAATCAGGCAAATTAAAATCTGCCTTTTTTTTAAACTTTTTTCCTTCATCAGAAAATAGCTTGTCTGACGAAACACTAATTTAATTTTTACGCCTGCCATTATGTACATAAAATCTAAATTAATATTCATTTACTTATTAATAGTTTTGGAAGTTAAGACTTTGTCTAAACTTCGCTTTTAAGCAAAAACAAAAAAAAATGTAACTATCAGAGTTTCAAGTAAGACGCCTTTTTTACTATATATAATGATATAATTTACTATATATATTGACAAATGCACTTTTCATACGGCTATTTAGACAAAGCTTACATTTTATTAGACATGACATCTGTGGATAATAATTTGTATTTTTAGTCCTTCATAGCCGATATATTCCTATATAAAACATGGAAAGATTACCGGTTGATATATCCGGCGAATAGAAACATTGAAAAAGTTGCACTTCATCCTGAATGGAGAAAATATCTATGGACACCAGACGTATATTTCCACAACGCTATTGAAGCCAAGGTGCTAAATACCGTAATCCCCTATGTTTTCCTATGGTTGAAAAATGACTCAACTCTTATTTTTGGAGCAAGGTAAGAATGTTTACATTTATTTCTCATTTCGGATAGGTAAAAAAGAATGCTAAATAAACACCTAACAGATTATTTATGAAAGTAATGTAATCTAAAGAAAGATGAAGGTGTATGGAAAGACAATTAATTGAAATAAATTCCAGAACTCGGAAAGTGGCCTCGGAATCGATTGCTATTGCAAAGATCCACATGCAGTTAAGAAGTTCATGTGCATACGCCCTACAGGCTGCAATCTAAAACCGACGCCATAGAGTCAAACCATTAGGAAGTCAGAGACGACATTCTCTAACATTATAGAAAAAATAACTTCCCTAGTATTATCTCCATTTGCCATTACACAAGTCATAACTTTACAACCAACGTTAAAGGGAAAGCGTCAATTTGTAACTTGTCTGTCACCGAAATAGCTCGATTTCAGGATCCGATCCGATCCGAACAAGTATGGCTGGAGTAGTGCGCGAAGCGCGCTGTTTCCAGCTCATGAGGAGAGCCAGTAGGCACATGACGGTAGGAAGTCTGACGTGGTAGGAGTTTTTCAGGAAGATCATCGACCAACGATTCCGTAACACATCTGATATCGTTTTCAGTCATGGCAAATCAGAGGTCTTAAAGTAGAACAGAAAAATTAAAGGGGTGGGACTTATTCAGTCACAAAATGCACCAAACAGAGCAAGTATACAGAACTCGCTGAAATTCTCAACTAGACAGAACTCTCAAAACCTTAATGCTAGCAAGAATCCCCTGTTCGGACAATGAAGATAATTAACTGTATTTATCCTCGTAAGTCCCTTAGCCAGCTAGATATTTATGTTAATGTATATTCTTGATACTCTTAATGCTCATATAGACTAAGCTTTTCTTAGATTACTGATAAATATTTGAAGATAATAAGTATACTAGACCATGCGCTGCGCACCTGTTAGGCGAACATAACTCCGTTTCCTAATAGGTAGTTTATTGTAAATACTTAATAAATACTAATTTAGGAGTCAGACAACAAAAATCAGCGTTATATTTGCAAATTTTCACAGGACTAGTTTCGATGGTTTTACCAAACCATCCGTCTCAGTTGCCAAAGGGTCTGTTGTCTGACTCCTAAATTAGTATTTACTCGGTATGTTATTTTACCTTACTTAATAAATATTTCAAATTCTTTCCGGGTTTTGATTTTTAATTTCTAATCATGTAGATATTTGATTAGTACATGTGTTTTTGCTTTACCTTTTTTTGTACTTTACATCTGTATACTATGTTTTTAGTGCTTGAGAATTTGGAACTCTGTACAGGACTGTATATTGTGAATTATTCATGGGTATACTCGTGCTGTACATAGCTTGATTTTACTATTTGACTCCGCCTGTGACAACTGTGGTGTTTTACACTTCTGTCATCCTATTGTTTCATGTTTGCATATTTCAATCATCACCTCTCAAAGTATTCCTCAGAGTCATCACTGCATCGGGACAAAAGTCTCCACTCTTCTTTCGTCTCCTATTCTTTGGAGCATTCACCTCATCGAACTTCAAAGTCATGGCTCTTTAGGCAAATCTTTATTCAGCAAGTGACGGACCAGTCGGACCATAGGCTTGTATACTTATAATGCATCCATACGATAAATATGTTACACACCGCTGTTGCAAATGATTATGATCTAGAACATGCAATCAATTCAACTCGTGCGACCAAGACCAGTATCAGCAATTGCTACTACTTGGTTGCACTTACAAAAGCTAATGCAGAACTCTTCTGTTCCCAGACGTTGTATAAGTTAGGTAAATGAGCAAAAGAACAAGATACGGAAATGGAAAGTCAGACACCATTTATCAGTCAGATAAACAAATTTTGAGAGGAAAGAAAACGAAGAGTGGATTATAGACATACTGCGATCTAATGTAATGAAATTGCACAAAGAGTTAAAAACATCTTTCTTAGAAAGCAATTTTGAAAAGCATATGATGTCAATAGCTAATACATTCCAACTACTTTGAAGACAATAATCTGGGAACCGGCGGTAAGAAATCATTTAAATAATTCATGAAAGAGAAAAAGCATTTTCTGCCTAAAAATATCTAGTTTTATTGCATAAATGTTAGCAGGTGTAAGGAAAAGCACTTTAAACAGCAGTTTAGGAAGCAAAGTTTTCCAAATTTAATTTTAGTAATATAGACCAATTAATAACAGCAATTTCAAGTGCGTTTAAGAGAACAGGAATCTCTTCTTTAATACGTTTAATTCAGTTTGCGAAAAGCCATGCAACGAAATCATTTTGACGCAATGTTACAAATGCATGTAAAATATTGTGCTTTTCACTGACTGCTGATGTAAATTCGAAAGAAAGTAGAATGGGAAAAAAGCTGTATTTTGCTATACAAGTAAAATTAAATTTATGTGTCACTTTTTTTTAACAAAAATTATCTAAAGTTTGAACATTTTTTTCTTTCCTCTACATATGCTTTCATATAGCAGCTCAGTGCATTGTGAATCATATAGCTAATCTCAATATATCTTTCCGAGTCTGGTTCATAACATGTATTTTCAGCTTTTCAGTAGCGCTAAATATTTCCTGGAGCTGCCCTGAGTTCATTTCCATTTTGAAAATTTGTGATTTCCATTTTTCTTCATTAGCAAGTTCATAACCATCATATTCAAATGTTGATCGATGCTAACCATCTGCTCGATTATTCTCGATATGACTCAGTACTGCTCAATATTCTCGATGTGAATTCAACAAATACTAAATATTGGCAAAATCAAGCTTTATTGAAACATAATTCATATCCAATGGCTGCAATCCATAGCAAGGATTATTTCCTGGCTATATACAAAATAACCAGTTTGTCGATGAGGTAAATTTCTTTCCATATATCTCTCACACAGACTGGTCTCACATTTTCCTGCAGATAGTAGATCTGTGCTTTGCTATAATCAGCTAAAAAAATTATTTCCTGTCTACGCCTCTCGAATATTTCCAATAGCAATTTGTCCCACCATGGCCGAACAGTCAAAGACTACTGAATACTATTAATCTGTCATGAGTTCGAACGCAAGTGAACCGCCTAGTTACGCAGTAAGTTTTGGAGGCTTTCGGTGCACATAATGTGAATACAAACTAATTCTCTTAGACGTCCTCCACGAAAGCATCCCTTCTCTTAGATAGATAGCCCTTGTGTGCTCTGCCATATCCAAGTAATCTTCAGTCACAGTTTTTATTTGAATGCCTTCTATATTAGAGTACAATACTTGGATTATGGCAAAGCACGCAAGGACTATCTGACTTGGGGAAGATATGTCTTCGCAAAGGAATTTTTAAGGAAAACTTTCTCATATTAACGTTAAGCAAGGAGTACAAACCATGCAAACTCCGATGCAGTCAACCCGTTTGATGGACTGTGGCCCCGGGTCGAACTATCAGTGTTCAGCGGTTTTACTGTACTGCATTGATCTACCACTTTCTTCGAGAAACGGATTAGTGAAAATTTATTATTACTGGCAGTTTGTTTATTCGTAGTTCTGTGACGATATCATTTAAAGGGACTGACTGAATTATGGAATGTTTGAATTTTCCATTAACTTCCCATTTATTGTGAATATACATTTGAAATTTACCTTTGCTAAATTTTTTGGATGACTTTAGATGACATTCTTTGTCAATGGCATTCGCTTTTGCATTATTGTTAAGCTATCAGATGTGGTAAATACTGAAACCGTTTAAACCGTTCTGCTATTCATCGTAGTCCCGTGTCTATAGTTTCAGTGATCCGGGGGCCAAAAAGAATGGAAAATTAAAGAACTTAGCAGTTATGAGTTAATACGAAACACCTGCCAATTAAAAATGAACTTGATAAATTGCAGCAAATTAAATGCACCCAGTACTATCTTCTCATTAAAGTCCCAATTTTAAGAGCACGAATACTTATGCTCTGCTAAGACCGATGCTTCATTTCATTGCAATACTTTGATGCGAAGCCTGACTTTTATTCTTTAACTCTTGAAATTATAAATTTCAATGAATCCAATATTCTTAAAATAACATTTTTTCTTAAAATATTGCTGTACTGAAAATGCGACTGTAAAAGTAGAATATTTTACATTCATACATTCGAGAGAGCGAGAGAGACAAAAGCACATTGAAAATACACAATGCAGCTTATGGTACACTTTGCTATTCCTTTACTTACTGTTAATAGCATACTGTGAGTAATTTATCAGTTATACTTTGTTTTATGTATGTTACATGAGCATCGCGTAGAAGTATATAATTTTCGGTGTTATGTAGTAATTGCAGTATGTCTTGGAACACGTATCCATGATTCACAGGGACACCACTATATTTACTGCAAGTGAATATATTCAATGTTTGATGTAACAATAGAATGAGTTTTAACTATTAATATTTCTGGAAGAGACCTAATGGCAAACTTTTAAAAGCATTTACGAAGAGAAATACGCCAAAGTAAAACTTAATGTTAGGCAAAACTGCAACCTTATTTTCGCGGACACTTCTAATAAAACTGGAAAAGCATTATTAAACTCTAGTAACCTAAATGATGTTTTTAAAATTATTATATAGAACACAACAGTTTTATAAAGATAGTACACAAAAGTTTCCAGCTGTAAGATATGCTGCACCATTTGTTCAGTCTAACTCGAAAAAACTGTGGCTGGCATTTAGGCAACTGTCTTGTTGTGGGAACATATTAATAAGTACCCTTCTGACAAAAACTTTTATCTTCTTTATAAAAAGGCTCAATATTCCCCCTCCTTGCGTTAATGTGCGATTGAAATAGCCGCAATTTTCTTCACGGGTATTTTCAACGGACCGAAGATGAATGAATCTTACTATGGAAAATTAAATGTGTAAAGCCAGAGTCTCATTTCTGCTTCACGGCCCTGGAAACATGGGGATGTCGAGCACCAAGAAGACCTAATTTATAGAAGTTATCACGATATTTTGCCTCAAGTTCCGGTTTCAAATGAAAGACTCTGATGGATTAACATTCACCGGTAGCCAAAGAAAGCATAATTGTACTATGATCTGCTTTTAGCGCACTGAGTCATATATTCCTCATAGAATTCTAAATGTAATGAATACCTTATTATGTATATAATTCGATCCTCAGCTTTCCATTGGATATAAAGAATATTCGTGTAATGCAATTAATATATTTAGTTTAATAAGGGTTCGATGATTCATAATCAAAAGAATTTACTCCTAATTATATAAAAGATTATTGGAATCAGTGCAATATAAGTATAAATTATACATCTTAAGATATACTTTTGATACAGAAATTTCAATTTCAATGCTGAATTTTTGACAATTAAATTACCGTTAAAATAAACTACAGTTATTTTTGATGGATGATTTGGATTTTTTTATAGTTGAAATTGTTAATATTAATTTATAATCGAAAGGAAAAAATTACTAAATAATGAGCATTTAAACATTTTAAATTTTGTTAAAAAAGTGCTTAATATGTTTACTATTTTCTCCTTAGGCTATCTTTAGAGTTTAGCTGTGATATGTTGCTTCATAATTTTCCTCACGACACTCAGACTTGTGACATGATCGTAAAAAGTCGTAAGTGATCCTGCATTTATTACTGTAAGAGAGATAATGTCATATATAGGAATACCTCGCCTTTACAAGCTACTGCTTTCCTAACAGTAATATTTGTAAAGCGTAATTTCGTTTAATAAGTAAAATATTAATTCGAATTTTTTCTTCTGGAGTCTTCATGAAGTTGGAGCTGTCATGATGTCTGTGAACTAATAATTGATCGTTTTAGTAGAATTTTGGATAGCTTTAATTTTCTTAATTAATTTTTATTATTTTCAACATTCATTATTCGATGATTGATTATTCATTTTTTTAAATAATTAATGATTCGATTTGTTCGCTCAATATTTATAATTCAAAGAATTTTTATTTTTGAGTTTTTTGTAAGCGCAAGATTGAAGAGTGGGGTACAATTGTACCAATACTTGCATTATGTATAATTCTCATTGGTAAGTAACACTGTACGTTTCCAGACTACTCTAAATATTAACTGCTGTAATCGTAAAGGCAGTTAGCCTACCTATCATCACATGTTAACCTCTAAGTAGAGTAGCACCATCTCAGAAAACGGTTTGAAACAAATCATTTTATTCTACTCGTCAGTGTGGCAGTCACGAAATCTATTTAATAACAGAAAATGAAACCTCTGCAGCTTGAGGGGAAAATCACAACAAGTTAGCTGAAATTTCTATATTAAATACAAGGCAAAACCCGCCTACAAGCTTTGGCTCATACCCTCAGACTTTCACGAGCAACTATGGTTATTAAAGCTAAAACCGAATTAAGTAATTCGCTTGCATTGAAAAGTAATAGAGTGGCGGTTGGGGATAGCTGCCAAAGGCTCCCCCTCGAACATAAAACTCTACGCATTAACTAACTAACATTAACTAATCAGCATCTGGGTGGAAGCCAAAAAAAAGTAGACAAGAAAGCACAGCCTAAATAATGTATTCACACGTCTTGAAAAAATTATTACCCATTATTCCTTACCTAAACCAAATTCCTCACACTAGAAGTATTACACAGGTTTCATTTCTAAATTAATAGATGCTTTTAGATCCTAGTATGTTCATCATTTCGCAATGAGCTAAACGAACTATCTTAAAGCTAGAACGCCTTCGGCAGCTTTGTCAATAAAAAATTAATTAATTTGTTACTAATAGATTAACTCCTATTTCTTCTCCCCATTGAAATTAGTTTATTACTAAACTAACAATGTTTTCTCACATTATAAACAGTTTTTTTTATAATACAATAGTATAATTCGTACCTTAATTATTTATTTAATTAGTAATTTATTTATTTAAATTTTATTATTTGTCGTTAATTTATTTATTTAGTAACCCACACTCTTTCTGATATGAATTTGCACTGGAATGAGAAGGATTCCATATCCGTGGGAGATTATATTATTTTGCCACAGTTCGAGTTCTCCACTCCTGTTCCTGCAACCTGTCAAGAAATTCATCAAATGGGGAAACATGGTGAGCTAACGCAAATACTTTAATTTCTTACTTTCTATCTTACTTCATAATCAACGGTAAAATTTTGTCACTGTTCCTTTTATAAAAGCCGATGAATGTCATCCAGTTGTTTTATGTGTTCATCATATGGATCTCAAAAGTTTGCAGAGATTAGTTTTATTTACGTCCATTTGAAGCCATTCGTTAAAAATTTTGCAGCTTCAATGGTACTTGGATATCACCTTGAATGACCCTTTTCCTCTTTTGGGAGCGCCGGTCGTCCCATATTTAGAGTTTAACTATGCTAATTTCATCATGTGGCTTGATTTCACAAGAACCGAAAAAAATTTAAAAGCTTGAGCCTTTGCAAAAATTATTTTTTCAAATTATATTGAGAAAAGTATTCAAAAGTTCTAATTATGTACTTCATTTTCTAATTTCCATTTGCAAAAATCTAATAAAGGGAAGTGTGCATTTAAAAACTGTAATCTTAAGTTACGCTGCTTTCAGATTTTGCTTTAATTCAAAACTTTAAAATAAAAGTATGGATTTTTAATTTTACCTCATTATTGTTTCCGTATGAAAGATCCGACGACTTCGTGATTCGAACCGCTTTAAATTTCGGATTCGATAAAATTTAGGATTCGTCCTACTTCTACTATAAATATTAAAATATGACCAGACTAGAAAAGAAATATGCCTAGTTTGAAAAACTTCAAAATTCTCATTTCTCAAAAACTGTTTTCTTAATTTTCAATTCTTAAAATTCAAATTCAAATTCTTTCTTGCCTAATTTGAAATGAAATTAGGCAAGAAAGGGGCCTTAGTTTGCATAGATCTATCAATTTCGATGGCGATCAGAGTCACCTGCGTCTAATCCAAATTAAGGTACATAATTTTAAATTAAAATGCCGTGTTTAGGCTGGATAAAAAACTAAATTTTGAATTAAAATAAAATTTAGACTAAATAGGAGCAAAATGAAACCTCCATGAAGGTTTCTTTTTAGTATTATTTATGAATAAAACAAATAACAATTAAAACAAATCTGTAATAGAAAGAAAATATCATTCATCAATATTTTCAGTAGTACTCTGTAATTCTTTTTAACATTCAAGGGTTCAAGAAGATTTAAATCAAAAATGCATCTCTTCATATTAGTACTTTAAAAAGAGTCACTTCCAGTTTTAAATAAACAATATTCTTGCACTTAGAAACTCAAGTTATATAAATCTTTTCTTCTTCTAAATCCCTAAAAGAAATTTTATGAGCTAAATTCAGTCTGCTGGTGTTGTTCTGGAGATATGCCAAAACTTGGTTTTTTAGCACATCTCTGGCAATAGTGTTTAGCTAATTAATTTTGTATTTTTCTAATAATTTACACAGGTTTTCCTAAACAGCTTTTACGTATAAAATAAAAATCAGTTCCCCGTTTTCTTAAATATTGATTAATTCATAGCGTAAATGTGTGCTTACTTCATTTATGAAAGTAAAACTTACACTGCAAAAATAATAACATTCATTGCATAGAACTCTATTTTAGATTTCAAGATAGCAAGTGTATAAACTGTGCGGCTGCCTCAGAAAAGGGTATATTTTATTTCATAGTGAAGATAAGCTTTAAAAGACGAAAATATTTTATACAAAATATAATTTATTTTGAAGAATAAATATTTATGGCTATTAAGAGTGCAAGATAGTAGAAATATTCCTCGTGTACATTTTTGAAATTATTCAGTTCATTAATTACTGAATGAAAAATATGCAACAACAACCAAATTTTTTATATGCAATATTAGATTTGTAATATTGTAGACCTTCATTATTTTTTACATAAAAACTTGATATTTTATTAAATCATATTATTTACATAATATAATGTTTACATCATTTTTACTAACAGTGGAATTTAAATGACCGCAAACAAGCATTTTGCTATTCATAAAACCTCCTGTTATGTTCGCATTTATGTAGATTATTTTCTGATGCCTTACCCTCATTTATACGATCTGCCTCATTTTAGGCTGATATTGGTTCCACTGTATACAGAAGTATTTCTACTTTTGCAAATCATCTGTAAGACTCATTATAATATTACCAAGCCCATGTAATCATAGGCCGAGATCTTATTATTTTCGTCAGTCAGCTCATGAATTAATTAACATATTTTGCTTTTACGAAATTATATTTTGTTCTTCTTCATGAGTTGATGAATTAGATGCAGTTTGTTTACTACTCTATCCAGTCCCCCAAAATGGGAGCTCTTTCACTTTTTATAAACCAGTGAGGACAGAACTAAAACTAGGCTTAGTTCTGTTCTTAGTTAACTAGGCTAAAATATGCCTAGTTTGAAAAACTTCAAAACTCTCTTTTCTCAAAAAATTTTTTCTTAATTTTCAATTCTTAAAATTCAAATTCAAATTCTTTCTTGCCTAATTTGAAATGAAATTAGAATGGTGGAAAAACTGAAATGGTGGAAATGCAGCAACCAAGGCCAGTTTTACAATTTTATTTACTCAGGGACTTTTCAAACTTTGCATAAATGTAAACATATCTATGCTTTTATTTACAATTATATTTGATTCATCCCTCGACTCCTGCCACTTACTAAAACTGCATTTAACATTAAAAAAAAATTGTCAGCTATATAGATGTTCAGTTTCAGTAATAAAAATTTGATTTTTATTTTCATTTCTTTTCTGACACGCACACATACACACACACACACATATATATATATACTTAAAACATGTTTAACTATCATTTATTTTACTTGCCTTTTAATTCAGGCATTTGTGCACGTTTCATTTCTAATGGAGGAACGACAATATTTGCAAGACAGTACTAGCGCTTTAAAAATTAAATTATTTTGAAAGTAACTTTTAAATAAGAATAAATTGTAGCATATAGGTATATTTTCTTTAACTATTCTGAATATGCTAACTTTAAGAATGTGTATTGAACATAAAAGATTTTAAGAGTGAAATAATTTTCTTTGTCAACATCAAGGCCCTTTTTTTTCCCAATCAAGGCTCCTTTTCATCCAATCTAAATACTTGCTGGTTAAGAATTCGTTGGAAATTGCAATGGAACTCATTTGACCATTTAGCTATCTCATTATTGAGAGCATTATCCAAGGTACATGACAAAGAGCGACTGATATTACACTCACAAAAAAGGAAAAAGGCAATACACATACAGCCAAACCTTACACAGATTGCAAATCTACACGCTTGATTTTCTGTTCAGCAATCAACCTCCATTAACTGTCATATCATAAAGGCCAGTTTAGTGTCAGCTAATACCATTTCCATTCTGAATCCTATACGTGTAATAAATAGCATATTTTCAAGATACTTCCCAGTTAATTCATATTTATTCTAATATTTCAATAAGTTATTATTAAAGATCTCAATGTATATAATTTCAAATCTCAATAAAGGCTGATCAGCGGCCAAGCGATGAAGTCCTTGAACCCTAGTAGTTCGGTTCGAGGTTCGAATCCCGCGAGCAGTCCTCCGTGAAAGCATTCCTCCCCTTGGACAAATAGCTTTCAAGGCTTTGCCGTAACCAAATAAGCCAAACTAAATCTCAATAGATAATATTTTCACTTTGAAATATCTATATTTAATACAAGCATTGGCACGCCTGATGTTGATTCATTTAGCAGTTTTCATGGTGAGTTACCCAGTTGGCAGGTTAGTTGAGGGATAGTACTCAAGAAACGGATCTCTTAGAGATGGTGTAGACCTAGCTCAAAGGGAAATTTTTGCTCTTCAAGCATATTTCATACAAATAGAAATTAAGTTTACTTGGTTTAATTTCAACCATATTTCTCACATAATGAAGACATATTATTATATCCCTCTAATATTATATTTCATAATATATCTATAAATGCATTCAGTTCTACCAAGCATTCAATAATTTTTCTTAATATTGGATTTAATTATACTTCAAGTATAAATAAAATATCATGTTCATAAAAGACATTAGCCACTCTTTTCTCTATTCTTTACATTTAATAGTAAAATGGCAAAGAGTATTATTATCTGTTGTGAATAAATGAGACCTAGCAACAATAATAATGAAAAGAGAAATCTAGTTAAGTGTCAAAAGTATAAAATATCAGAGGCATTTTACTCATGAATCAGAGGCATTTTACTCATTTTACTCATGAATTTTACTCAACTTTTAGATAAGTCAACTTCATTAAGTACAGTATGCAGTATCTTTAATGCGCGTTCTGGATATTTACTAAAATTTCAGTATGTATAATTTGTATTACGAGTCTCTGTATATTTAATGCATTATATGACAATAATAGATATTTTTAAAAAACGATTTAACGCGTTTTTTATATGAGCAGAACCATTTTACTTGGTGTAAACGCAATCACATAACTTACATTAAGTGGCCTATATTTATCACTTGATATTTTTGTTCTCTTTCATGCATCCTCTAAGAGTATGTTCACATTAGCAAATCAAAAGAAAATTCTCAACCCAATTGATTTTATTTTATTTTACAGCGATTCTGAAAACGTATTATGCACTCTTATATTTATATTTAATATTTAACATTATCATCATATGTAAAAAATATTGTAACAGTAGGGAACAGGCTACGCCGTTATGCAATGCACTAGAAATCCTGAGAATTTTACAGAATGTAAACAAACTTCTAGCCTTGTGGGCGGAGTTACAATCTACTTTATCTCTCAATGGCTAATCTTACTTTTAACTGCTCTGGAAAACACCCATCGTCCTATTGTGGGTGCCCTGCATTCTCAAAAAATAAACCAGCAAACAAAAAGTGCAGTAAAACCTGGACTTAGCTTCGCACAGGCAATGAGGTCAAACTCTCATGAACAACCTGATGATAAGGTAGAGGACAAAAGTCCTAAAAGCCCCTCAAATGCTGAATTTCCCCAGCTTGTTAATAAAAATGCAAATGTGAATAATAAACAAAATGATAACTTCTTTAATGCTAACTTAAAAAGTTCTAGTAATTCTGAGATATTTGAATTTTTCAAATGTTTGAAAGAAATTCATGGAATAATTGGACATAATAACATCAGCAAGATGACTCAGATATTTAAGAAATATGTCCCAAAATTAAAAGCTCACGCGGATAATGTTGATAGGCCTTTTTGTATATTTTGAAATGTTGTCAGAAATTAATGATTAGTGCAATTAATTCTGTGGAAAATATCTCATTAGCAACATGGAACTCACATGGCTTATCCGCTAAATTTAACGAACTTAGGAATTTTGTAAAGGGGTGCTCCCCAGATATTATCTTCCTACAAGAAATCATGCTTAGCCCACAACAAAGTCTCAAAATGTGCAACTACGAAAGTTATAGAATTGACAGACCAAGGAGACCTGGCAGAATTTCTGGTGGAATGCTCCATCGCGCACTTCGAAACTACATTACCACAGCTTTCGGCCATTGAGGCTCTAGCTATCACAATCATACCCCACACTCAACGAACAATCACTTTTGTCTCCATCTATCTACCCGCAGCAAGAGCACAAAAGAATGTTTTTGCTGATTTAGAGGCTATATCCAAGTTAAATACACGTATTATTATCGGTGGAGACTTTAATACACAGCCCAGAAACTGGAACTGCAATAAGTGTAGCAAATACGGATGCATAGTAAACAATTTCGCCAATAAGGCCAACTTAAAAATTACAGCTCCGACGCACCCAACATGCTATAACCCTGATAATGTCATCATTGACTTCTTCCTACTAAAGAATATCAATGCTCCCACTAAAACTGAGAGCTTATGTGAATTGTCATCTGATCACAATCCCGTAATTATGAAAGTTAACATCAGTGGTTATAGCACACCACACAAAAGAGCCCTTGTTACTAACTGGGTAAATTATGCCAAAGCTCTAAACAAAACACAGTGCACTTTACCGACGGCACAGAGTGCGGATGAGTTAGACGCAGTAGTAGAAAACTTCACCAATACTCTCAAAAATGCATTAAAAAAATAGTAGCAAAGAAGTACCATTAGAACAGAGAACAAGAGATCCTGAAATCAGAAAATTAGTTAAAGAGAGAAATCGTGCAAGGAAAAGATGGCAGAGAAGTCGCTGCCCGATAAAAGAATTATGAATGAATTACACCAGAAAGTCAGGCAATACACTAACCTTCATGCGCAAAACGAGTGGTTTAGATATTTGGAAAGCCTATCATATGATGATAATTCTATCTGGAAAGCAGTTTCCAAATATAAAGGTGCTACACTAATATTCCGCCCCTTAACGGCCCAAACGGGATCGCATACACAGAAACTGAGAAAGCTGAGTCACTAGCTGATCACTACGCTACTCAGTTTTACATTAACATCTCACACCCAGACACAGAACGCACAGTTAGTTACACTAACAATTTATACTTTTCATAACCAAACACGGACAACATCCGTCTAGCTAAGCCGTCTGAAGTAATTCGATATATCGAGGAAAGGAAAATAAAGAAAAGCCCTGGAATCGATGGAGTGAGCAATAAAATGATACGTGAAATGGGTCACGTGACGCTCTTCAAATTTACTAGAATTATCAACTTGATCTTAACACTTCGTTACTTCCCAAAGAGCTGGAAAACTGCCGTGGTAGTGCCAATTCAGAAGCCATCTAAACCTGCTAATAACCCAACCTCCTACAGACCTGCGAGTTTCTTATCCACATTAAGCAAAATAACTGAAGCGGCCATTTAACGAATGCATCCTGGAACACATCAATATTAACAAGATCCTAATACTGCAACAACACGGATTAAGAAGAAAGCATTCTACAGTGCACCAGCTGTACACGGTGACAGAGTTCATCGCTGAAGGTTTCAAAGAAAAAGAGAGCACTGGAGCTCTTTTTCTCGATATATCGAAGGCATTCGACCGAGTTTGGCTAGACGGTTTACTTTACAAACTAATTTCCCTGGGTTTCCCGGCGTACATCATAAACATCACTAAATCTTATCTCTATGAGAGGCAGTTTGTCGTTCGCTATAAAAATACCTATTCCACGCAGAGAAACATACTTGCAGGGGTCCCTCAGAGGTGTCTGACAAGTCCTATTTACTTTCTATTATATGCGAACAACATACCACATACCCCCCATACACTACTCTTGCCATGTATGCTGACGACACGACGATCCTTGCAAAAAATGCATCGCTAAACCACGTAGTACAAGCATTACAAATAATACATACATACACTTGAAGCCTGGCTTAAAAAAAATGGAAGATACAAATAAATGTGGATAAATCAGTTGCAGTTTTATTCACAAGAAAAAGAAAGATCGATCACTGTATTAAAATGTATGATACAGTCATTCCGTGGGCTACGCAAGTAAAATACCTAGGTGTTATGTTGGATAGGAGCTTAACATAGAGGCCCTACACTACACAAGTAATTCATAAATTCCGAGCTGCTAAACAAAACCTTACCCCCTTAATTTTTTGGAACTCGGTTTTATCTCTAGACAATAAATTGCTTCTTTACAAAGCGATATTGCGTTCCATTATAACCTATGCCTGTCCTGTTTGGGGCTTTGCCAGTACAGTACATATGAAAAAAATTCCAAGTTTTGTAGAATGTTACTCTTAGGCAGATAACCAAGAGTCACTGGTTTATTAGAAATGCAGACATTCACAATGAGCATAAAGTTCTAGAAATTAAACAATTCATGGCCAAAATTGACAGAAAATTCTTTAAGAACATCCACAAGGTTGAGAATGAAAGCATTCCATTACTTAGCTATGATTACAACGCAATTAATAACGCCAGAAGGCCATGAGCACTTTTGAGGGCATTAAAATTATGTTTATGCTGAATTTTACTTATATTTTTACATACTCAGGAAATTTAGTCTCATAATATGTCTTACAGCTTTCTTTTTAATTGTAATTTCTTATTATTGAATATGTATTTAAATTTAATGCTTTTACTTAGAAAAATTTGTAATTCCTAGCAGTAGATATGAATGAGATATCGTAAACCCCTCCCCCCTTTTCGGCTCGACCAACCCTCTAAAAGTATGGCTCTGAACCCCGCCCCCTCCCTTATGCTTGCCAATAGCGTTTGTTTGCGCCGCACTTTCTCTTCCAACTTAGCACTCCCACCACATGAATCCATCTCAGTCAACCCTTACAAATTCTTTGGTTAGACGGAGGACACCGAAGGCAGAGGTTCGCACTCCAGAAAGCAAAGAAGTAACTAACTCTTCGACGGTAAAGTGAATTTTTCCACAGCAGCCAGTTGCAGCTATCATCTAACTGTTTCACGCATCAGCTATGTCTATTCCAATGCTAATATTGCTCTATTTTTTCAATTAATTATGAGATAAGTTACTCATCTAACTTCTACAGCTCATCGCTATAATTGCTTTAGGATTTACATGACATTATTGATTTTAGGACTATTTTACAAAAGTTTTAGGACTCTCATGATATGCTATGCAAAATTAAAGATATGCACACCATCTTACGTTGCTATACACAGGGTAGGAATGTGTTCGAAGAACCTGACTGCGTCACTTAAGATATATCTTACTTTAAATTCTCAATGGCTAATTTCGAGAGGTTGTCCTAGCACTGGACAGTTTGATTATATGTCGTCGGAGCTTCATTATGAAGCTATGCTTTGGACCTGCCAAAAAGTAATGTTTTGCATGCGAATACTTACCAAACGTTACGATTATGTTTCCAGTACACTTTCGTTACATTTCATTCTGAATATGCTTTGTCAAAGTCCCCGAAATTTAGTTTTACTAAAATTTTCTTTTCCCTTCAATCTGAGTTTTTTACGACAAAATATTTATTTGACGTTACTCATCTACGAGTGTTAAAAAAAATTAGAAGTAGAATTTTTTTATTTTTTTTTATATTTTATTTTATTTTTTTTTTTTTTTTTTTTTTTTTTTTTTTTTTTTTTTTTTTTTTTGTGTGTGTGTGTGTGTGTGTGTGTGTTAAATATTCACGTCTGTTTATATACTTAGGAAAATTTGCTTGTCTTCGTGGAGTGATACAACTTACAAGACGATCTGGCTATTATGTCATCAATATCTACATCCCAACTATATTAATTGTTTTCATGTCCATGCTGACTTTCTGGATACCCGTCGATGCAGTTCCGGGCAGAGTGACATTGGGAGTGACCTCTTTGTTGACTATCATCACTAAACAATATCAAGCTTCTCTTCCTAGTGTTTCTTACATTGTGGCGTTAAACATATGGCTCTCCGTCTGCATCGGATTTGTGTTTGGGGGCCTCCTCGAATATGCTGCGGTAGTCGCACTCCTTAATCATCAAAAAAGAATCATGCCAAATGCGGCTAAAGTAAGCTTGTTTATTTTGTCTTAGTCATGCATTTATTAGCCATTTTCGGTTAAGAATACTTCGAGAAATTTCACACTTTATTTCCATCATTTAATTAGATATTCATCAAACATTTTAATGCAAGCATACTTAAAAATAAAACGATATTTTAGATTAGGAATTCATATATCACTTCTGTATGAAATGTTAAAATATTTGAAAATGCGAATGAAGTTAATAATGAAGTAAAATAATAGAATTAGTAATGGTACGACTATTACAGAATGAGAAATTGTAGAATAGGCAAATTAAAATAGAACTATAAAATAGAGACTAAGTCAGGAGTATTCAACGAACTGGATATGAATAATAATTAACGATTATAAAATAAAATGTTTAATTAGAAACTATTAGTACGTTTAAGAACTTTAAACATGAGCGAAATAACAAAATAAGTAAAATCAGAAGCATTATTGCGATCGAAATTATGAAAAATGAGTTAAAATTCAGAGCGTGTTGCAAACTAAAAAGGAAAAAAATGTCAAAAATCATAAAAAACCTTACATCCAAAATTAAGTTAATGTGTGCGATGAGAAAATATAACAAACACGTTAAAATTTACGAAGATTAAAATGTACGAAAGTAGTTAAAAAATAAACGGAATTCATGTATATTTCGTGAAATTATAGCAAATTATTTAAAATTCAGAGTATAATGGAAATTACAAACACTAAAAGATTGCGAAAAAAGTTAAAAATTACGTTAAAAAGTTACAAATTACGTCGTATATGATCAAAAAATATAAGTAGCGAGTTAAAATTACCGGTATATTGAAAATTACAAAATTTAAAACGCATGAAAGTAGTTAAAAATTAAGTGAAAGTCAAGTATATATGTGGAATATAACAAAGCAGTTAAAATTAATAATATGTTAGAAATTGCAAGCGTTAAAAAGTAGGTAAGAACTTAGAAACTTTTACATCTAAAATTAAGTAAAGGTTATGTATATCGTTGTGTTCTACAGGTTCGTGTATTTGGAGTAATTAATGATAACACTTGATGAAAATCAAAACACAATTTCTTCGCCAATATTACACAGGACAATTCCAAAGACACGTTTACAGTCGTCGAAAAACTACGACAAACACGTTTAAACAATCAGCAAACACCGCCTTCAGGCTATAATGGTGAAGACATCTTCACGGCAAAGCACTAGAGTACAGCTCCTGACTCGGTCGATCGTTCTCAAGCTAATATCTGAACTCAAGACACTATACTCTCTGAACTCAAGATATACTACACTCTACTACTACTAATTCCTAGGACAGGCAGGGTATATATAACTTTAATCTACCTTCGAGAACTTTCCCGAGGAAAACTGCTAAGAATGCGTTCTAGAATGTTCTCGCTTCGTCTATGGCATATCGCCAATTTTGTCGTCAAATATTTCTAAATCAGTTATTTCGCACCAAAACTGGCAACCTTGCGTTTCCCTGCCACTTTCTGGCAAACCTACCCCCCCCCCGCTTTGCGGAGAAGCTATCTTACTGCAGCTGGGCATTTCGCAACAATATGGTCAGAAAATATAGGAAGTTAATTAAAATTAAGAGTATATTGGAATCAAAGAAGGTTAAAATGCATTTAAAATTTAAAAATTATATCTAAAATTAAATAAAGGTCATGTAAATGGTCAGAAAGTATAGGAATTAATTCAGAATTATGAATGTTAAACTATATGAAAGGAATTAAAAATTATATAAATGTCGTATATGTTGTGAAAATATAATAAACTATTTAAAATTTAGAGTACGTTAAAATCTGCAAAGGGCAGAATGTACGAAAGAAGTTAAAAATTATATCTAAATTTAAGTACTATAATAAGTTAAAAACGCATAGCTGAATAACTGCACTGGTAAAATTAAAAAAAAAGAGTTAAAATAAAAACTACTGCTTAAAAGGTACGCAAAAAATTGTGTGTAAAATGAAAATAATGCTATTAAGATTACAAAAATATAAGTGTGGTATTATAAACAGAAGATTTAACGTAAATTTCAGAGTATGCAGGAAATTAAAAGGCTTAAAATGCATCGTAAAATTTAAAAATTTACATCTAAAATTAAGGCCTTATGTATCGATCGTTAAATTCGAAAATAAGCGCCGTTAAGTGTACATAGGAATTAACAATTATACATGTATTAAAATAACTCGAATACGAAGAAAAATACAAAGACTAAAAGTCCTAAAATTAAAGGAAACTACCACTGTAAAATTAATAAAAGATAATCTTTTATCAAATTGGTACGCTTAAAGTTAAGGTAATTATTGCCGGAAAATAAATAAAAGATAATCTGTTATCAAATTTTCACGCTTATCTCGGTCCTTCCCCCTTGTTAGTTGGTTTGCATCGCATACCGCTTGGGCGCTCCGGCTGCGCGTTTGCACCGCATATCGTCTCCTGGCCGTGGACTCTCATTTTACTACTACTTACTTTTATCTTCGGAAACGTCGTATCCTGTAATAAATAAAAGGATACAACATGAGACATTTGGCCTGAAAGGCCATTATATATCATAGACTATTTCGAAAGTCTGGATTGTAAAATTCACTTTTATTTCCGAACTAAAATAGGAATGAAAGAAATTACCAAAGAATGTGTTTGAGTTGAAATAAAATGCCGAATAACGATTATTAAGGAGTTAGAATAACAAGAACCAGTCATCGCAACCGGATTTTCTCACAGGCCTCTAGAATTGTAATACAAGTCCTGAATGTTGAATCTTGAATTCTTGAATTGCCTCAATGTTTTGCCATATCTATGAACTCACTTCGGGATAGATAGTTTTAAGTACAGGACATAAAGTTACATGACATCAAGCAGTTTTAAGTACATGACATAATTAGCTCATTTCCTAACACTTTTTTTCTAAAATTCGAACTTCACCGTCATTAATCGTAATTCACATTAACGTTTAAGTTATATGTGACAGTTAATATTTAATATTGTGACATATTATTGATTGGTTTGGATAACAGTTCACAAAACTCTTCGTTCCAGAATTTAATATATTTTATAATATATTATAATATATTTGAGGTGTGTAGTTAGACGTAGTAATATTTCAATGCAAAATGCCATTATTCATGCCTAGTAAATTTTAAAATTTAGTTATTCTGAAACAGGCACATCGAATAATAATAAAATAAATAAACTCAAACTGTTACCTCGAGCTTTCTATATACAAACGTAAGATTCTGTATCATACTATTTAATCCCACTAAAGAAAATTCACTGTGTTCTTGGACTCTGCTTGAGTGCTTCTTCTGATTTTTTAAGCACCATTATTTGTAAAAATACAAGAAAGTTCATAAGTTAAATGCAAATATTGCTCCGCAGCCGTCACTTTACTACATAAGTCCTGAAGCACTTTTAAAAAACTGAACTGATTTTTATTAAAAGTTGAAAATTAAAATGTTCGCATTAAAAAAAATTATGCCACAAATTGAATCTTCAAATTTTAACTCTTTTTCCTTTTTATTATTATTGTTATTATCGTGTATTCAGATAATTCCCTGTAATTAATCTTAAAAAACAATAAACTAGTAAACCATCTGAATAATCAATTTGTAACTTGAGTGATTTGAAATTTTTAAACTTAAAACAATTTCGATTACTTCACAGAATTCAATTCTTTGAATTCATTACATTATTAGGCATTCCCACAAATGACCGTTTTTTCGAAAGGTAGCATTTCTGATCTTGCAGCAGCTTCAATATATTTTTTCTGAATCAAAATTTCCCTATTTAATTTACCATTATTGAAACTTTTTTCTGTACTGCCACTCAATTCTTAAAACCAATATTACATATTACTTTAAAATAAGACAAAATTGAAATTTAATTCTGTTTAATTTTTCAGGGTACATCACAAGGATCGGCATCGCACGGTGGCGATTGCGAATATCTGAAGAATGCATTTTTTGCTCGGTTAGAGAAGATAGAAGTCCATAACATTGATCGGGTTTGTCGTATAGCATTTCCTGCTGTATTTTGCCTGCACTGCATAATTTACTGGATTGTTTATGCCAATTGATTAGAACTGAAATGAAAACGACAGCCACCATACTTTCTCAGTGTCTTCGATAATTAACAAATCTAAATTTAATGCAGCCAAACTTGATACTACATTCGAATCCTACTATAGCGAATCCCACTTATAGTGAATGCCAGATGTAACGAACTTCTTCGTCTCGTCCAGTTTCCTACACACTATTAAGCCCCATTTCCATTAGTGCGGTGCTAACGCGTAGCGTCATTGGGAGAAACGCATTCGAGACGGATGGCCGTTCACACTTCTGCATTGGGTTTGCGCTTATAGAAGTTCGGTGGTTAATTGTATTTACTACCATCAGATGTCTCTGTGTTTAACTTTCGGGATTTGGACCCTTAAGATACTCAAATTCAATTTTATTTCTCCTTGTGAATTGTGAAAGTAAACTATTCTAGACGTTTTTAGATTAGTAAGTTATAAAGCACATTATGAACCTCTGTAACTGCACAGAAATCTCTCTGCGTTCATGGAAGGCCTTAAATGTTTAAGAAATATTATATAATTAAAACTAAATTATACAGTTAATTCAAATAGAAAAAGTTAAATACATATTTAAAAATAGCTGTTACTTTAAAAATACAGAGCAATTGTAACGTAAAATTCTCAATACTTGCAATGAATTTGCTGTGCTTTTTCAGTGTATACTATTAACTGCCATGTGAGATTGTATATTTTAAAAATATGCCTAAATTTTGAGGCTAAACAGACAATATGTAACATAAAATTTCAGCTATAAGTCCTTAAACCTCAACTTTACACTACAAATCTGAAATCGAAGAAGAATATGTAGCCTAATTTTAGCATCAAATTCTTCAGTGTCACAGCAGGATAAGTTATTGGAAAACTCATTTATATATAAAATACACTATGCGGAATCGTATTTGATGTATAATCCATAAAATATTATTTTTAATTTATAAATTTTAAATTCATAACCTTTTTCAAGTTATAAAGATAAGCTTTTCTCTTATTATACATATATATTTTAAGGAACATCTGTGCATAATAAATTTTCACAAGTGTTTCTGCAGTGATTTAAAAAATCCATTATCTACGATATAAATAAAATATCCGAAAAATCATTGCACATATATGTACATTCACTTAAAAGTCAAACGAAAACATATAAAGTACCCTTTAAATTATTCTTATGTTATTAGTCTCAAAATAAAGTTTTTAGGGGAAGATTAAAATAAATAAATTAAAATGTAGCTAAACTACTTGATTAATGCATATAATAAGTAACAGAGCTAAGAAAATTGCAGACAGAGTAGGAAAGTAGTACTGAATACGAACTCACGATCCCAGAGATCACTCCCTACCTCCACGCTATTGTTACACTACAATAGCGTAGCCTGTTTAAAATTGGCCTATATAAGATTACATAAATAAGTTGTTAAACTAATTTTTTGGCTCCATTTCAATGTGCTATCATCTAAAAAATTCATTGTAGTTTAGTTTTGAGCTTCTACTGCATTTCCTACAAAAAAAGGGGGCGGAAAGGAAAATAAAAAAGGGGAAAAAAGATTTTTTAAACGGCGTTTTTAATTGAAGTTAGATAGACTGTTAAAAATATGTTCAAAACAAAAGATACTCTTGGAAATAAGTGTAAACTAAAAAGTTAATTTATAAAGAGAGAAATGCAAATTTAGCATGCTATTTAATGCAGTAGAATAATTAAAAGACTATCAAATTTAATTTCCAAAGCACGTTATTAACTTTTTAACTTTTTAAAAAAAAAAAAACCCTGCTAATGCAGTATCTCATTTGCTATAGCAGTTTGAGATAAGCAGAAATTCATTTTCTTTAAAAGTAATGCATACGCATACAGAACTAAGTCTGGGAAATGATTGCCAGGGAAAATTTTGCTAATTTTTTTCATGGACTTCAGTTATAGTTTTTGTACCTGAATTTCTTCGCACTGACTGATTCTTTCTTTAACCGAACTAGCACTCTGTTGTATAGCTGTTGTCTCTTTTATAAAACCAAATTCAGTCGATTTCTGTGCTTTTGAATATGCAGATTTCTCGCTATAAGGCCTTATATTTTTTTTAATTCAAAATTCAGCAACAAGTACTTTTTGCCAAAACACTCTTTCTTTGATCCGGCGTCCATTGCTGTTTCTGGCGCCATTAGTTTTTGTTGACATCATCTGATAGCTCATTTTTACCGCGGGACCCCCAACGCTTACGCAGACATGCAGATGGAAGTTGAACGCAGTTCTACTCCATGCAGTCTATCTTCCATTGCCGCATCAGACATGTCAAACGCTGGCCGGAGAACCGCATACGCAACGCCTTCATACCACACTACTGACGTGAAACAGTGTTTAAGACACCCGCGTGCCTAGGCCCAGTGCCCTATCCCGAATCTAACGATTACAAATTTCGAAATAATATAATTTATAATACATTAAAAAATAAGATAACAAATTTGCATTAATGATTTTTTCAAATACACTCTTAGACAAAAAAAAAAAAAAAAAAAAAAAAAGACGCACCAAGAAGGAGTTATCCGAAAGGGACGAATATCAGTAGAAATGATGCTCATGTACAGAAAAACAAATGATTACAGTTTGAGAAAAATTGGATGATTTATTGAAGTGATAGAGCTTCACAAAGTGAAAAAGTCAGTAACGCGTTTATCCATTTCTGGCCCTTATGCAAGCAGTTATTCGGCTTAGCATGGCCCTTATGCAAACAGTTATTCGGCTTAGCATCGATTGATAGAGGTTGCGGATGTCCTCCTGAGGGATATTGTGCCAAATTCTGTCCAACTGGGTTGACGTTAGATCGTCAACATCCCGAGCTGGTTGGAGGGCCCTGCCCATAATGCTCCAAACGTGCTCAATAGGAGAGAGATCCAGCGACCCTGCTGGCCAAGGTAATATTCGGCAAGCATCAAGGCAAGCAGTAGAAACATCTGCAGTGTGAGGGCGGGCATTATCTTGCTGAAATGTAAGCAGCCCAGAGTGGCGTGACATGAAGGGCAACACAACGGGCTTTAGAACTTCGTCGACGTACTGCTGTGCTGTAAGGTTGCAACGGATGACAACCAAAGGGGTCCTACTATGAAATGAAATGGCACCCCAGACCATCACTCCTGGTTGTCGGCCTGTCTGCCGGAAGACAGTCAGGTTGGTATCACACGCTGTCCGGGGCGTCTCCAGACTCGCCTTCGCTGGTCATCGGTGCTCAATTCAAAGCGGGACTCATCACTGAAGACTATGCTACTCCAGTCAGTGACATTCCAGTGCGAATGAGCCCGACACCACTGCAAACGGGCTTGATGGTAGTCGGCGCAAGGGGCGCCGTGACTTCAGTCCCCTTTCCGTGAGTCGTCTATGAATGGTCCTTGCAGGTCACTGAAGCACGTACAGTCGACGATAATGATGCATCTGGGGCTGTGAGTGCCGCTCTGACGATTGCTCGGTCTTCACGTTCTGTCGTTTCTCTAGGCCTACCGCTTCCTTCTTGACGCTGTGTGGGGCCATGGTTCACCCATTCCTGCCAACATCTTCTAATAGTGGCATCGCTACTGCTCAAATGTCTAGCTATAAGACCAACCGGCTTGAGCCCACTACATGACCTTTCTCACTCAAATTCTGAATTCTGTGCATATCGTTTGCGCATCTGTATGCGAGGCATAGTTACCGTCTACCAGAGTACACGGAATGAAATTCCTGAAGAATTTATGACCTGGAATCGTAATTTCTCTTAAATATCCTGCCAGTTGCGCAGATCAGATGCGCTGTAGCGACAACTGTTCATTTATTGGCAGCCAAAATGTAAAATTTTGCATTTTTCTTTGAAACCTGTATGCATATCAATTTGTGTCCAATTTGCTACGTCGTAGTGCGTCGATTTGTTTGTCTAAGAGTGTATATTATAAATGTTAATTAATTAGTTGGAGGACATAGTTCAAAAAACTGATCAAGTTGGGAAGTACTAAATGCACAATGCAAGCGGTCATAGTGGTAAAGTTTAAACAATTTGAAAAGAACACATACAATAATAATACTGAAACGAAAGTGTTCTAGATCAAATGTCGAATCACTCATAATCCAAAATGAGATGCATGGCCTGGAGGGTTTTTCATAAATTTTAATTAAACTTAATATTTACATATATACAATGTAGGCCAAATGCCTGAATCGAATATTAAGGCTCAAAAAGCAAGAACTGAATAGTTCCATCAAAAAATCTAAATCGAATTCTATTGCGTAGTGCATCGAAATCCTACCTTCAAGAAGAAGATTATTTTTTCAAGTCACGTGTTCAGAAGGGGAAAGCCAATAGATGGACTCCTAACGCCATCTCTTGGCGATATCAAAGAATATTCCTTAACACACTCCCCACCTGAACTCTGACAAGAGTTCATCTAACTCAGTTATACATACAATCAAGTACATAAATCACTATTCTATAAAAATATTAAAAAAATACTAATTAGTCAAACACTTCAATTCCAAAACAGGTTATACACTTCATGTATCAAATCATAAATGTTATAACTAATAAATGAACTATATTTTGAAATATTTTCCACTTAACTGAACAAACTTAACTAACGATATTCAATTTAATCATTAATTGGCAAAAAAGAAAAAATGCATAACTAAATCGTTAAAGTTCAAAATATCTAAAGTTCAAGAGGATATATACATTGGTGCGCAAAAATTAAGGACGAGACGGTATTTTTCAATATAACTTTGTACAAAAGCTTTCCAAATCTAGACATTTAATACCGTAAGATCCCCAATAGGTAAGGACATGAGTAATGTAAGCAACACTTACTAAAAGAGAAATCAGAGGGATAAAAAGAAGTTTTATTGAAAAAGTAGCATGGAGCGCAATGCGACTGAAGGCCGAAACATCCCTGTGATGGGTGTCCAGCAAGAAACATCCGGTCTTTAATAGGGGATATGATCTCCCCTGACTGCTAAGCAGGTTTCACAGCGTCTGCCCATGCTGAGAATGAGGGTGTCAATGAGTTGTTGAGGCATTGCTGCCCATTCGTCTTGCAGCGCCAATCGAAGCTCCGGAATCGTTACTGGTGGTAAGATACGAGCTGCCAAGCGTCTGCCTAGAAAATCCCATACATGCTCGATGGGATTGAGATCCGGAGATCGTGCCGGCCAATCCATACGTTCAATGTCCTCACTCTCTAAGAGCTGTTCGGCAGCTACTGTGCGATGACATGGTGCATTGTCGTCCATGAAAAGGAACTGCGGACCCATAGCGCCTCTAAAAAGACTCACATATGGAAGAAGAATCTCGTTACAATAACGGGTCCCGTTGACTGAACCTGCGTCGAAGATGTGAAGGTCTGTACGACTACCAAGCATGATGCCTCCCCAAACGAGAACAACGCCACCTCCATACCTGTCCCTTTCAATGAT